AGAGAGAGAGAGAGAGAGAGAGAGAAAGAGAGAGAGAGAGAGAGAGAGAGAGAGAGAGATAATGGTTTTCAAAGGGACAGTTAATAACAATAACGGCGAGGTTTGAAAAAGTAGGGCAATAAGAAGGTGAACTGTAAGGGGAACAAATTGAACATGAAGTGAATTGCTAGTGTAAAGCGGTGAGTGGCTAGTGTGAGACGGTGAATGACTAGTGTAAGACAATGAATGGCTAGTGTAAGACAATGAATGGCTAGTATAAGACGGTGAATGGATAGTGTATGACTGTAATGGCTGGTGTAAGACTGTGAATAGCTGGTGTAATACCCATGAATGGCTGGTGTAAGACGATGAATGACTCGTGTAAGACTGTGAATAGCTGGTGTAATACCCATGAATGGCTGGTGTAAGACGATGAATGGCTGGTGTAAGACTGTGAATAGCTGGTGTAATACCCATGAATGGCTGGTGTAAGACGATGAATGGCTGGTGTAAGACTGTGAATGGCTGGTGTAATACCCATGAATGGCTGGTGTAATACCCATGAATGGCTGGTGTAATACCCATGAATGGCTGGTGTAATACCCATGAATGGCTGGCGTAATACCCATGAATGGCTGGTGTAATACCCATGAATGGCTGGTGTAATACCCATGAATGGCTGGCGTAATACCCATGAATGGCTGGCGTAATACCCATGAATGGCTGGCGTAATACCCATGAATGGCTGGTGTAATACCCATGAATGGCTGGTGTAATACCCATGAATGGCTGGTGTAATATCCATGAATGGCTGGTGTATGACTGTGAATGGCTGGTGTATAAAACGGTACTAAACAATTGCTCTAACCACAATATCCTGATTGTTGACGAAGTAGCTCTACCTAACAAACCCAGTTCAAACCTTTCCTTTGTGTGCGTGTCAGACCCCCACATTAATTGAACACTCTATCGTTTGAACATTCCTGTGGAAAAGATGCTGTTTTTTTTTTGGTTTTTTTTTTGACTGCTACCTCAGATAAGACTTAACTACCTAGCACTCATGAAATACGCCAGACACTATCTCCACTACAGCTTAAAACAACCTCATGGGCAGACGATGGCGGGCTGTGAGAAACAACCTCCAGGTCAAAAGACGCGCTCAAAAGTAACACCTAGACCACAGCGATGACAGTAAAGATGATGATAGCTTACCTTAACGATATACAAAAAAGGTGATGACAGTTTACCACAGCGATGACAGTAAAGGTGATGATAGTTTACCACAGCGATGACAGTAAAGATGATGATAGTTTACCACAGCGATGACAGTAAAGATGATGATAGTTTACCACAGCGATGACAGTAAAGATGATGATAATTTAACACAGCGAGGACAGTAAAGGTGATTATAGTTTACCACAGCGATGACAGTAAAGATGATGATAGTTTACCACAGCAATGACAATAAAGGTGATGATAGTTTACCACAGCGATGAAAGTAAAGATGATGATAGTTTACCACAGCGATGACAGTAAAGATGATGATAGTTTACCACAGCGATGATAGTAAAGATGTTGTTAGTTTACCACAGCGATGACAGTAAAGATGATGATAGTTTACCACAGCGATGACAACAACGATGTTGGTAGTGACGATGACACTAATGACGATGCTAACGCTGGTCACCACGTCGGGCCGACGCCACGGGTCACTGGGCGGGGCCTGGCGGGGCTTTACCGTATACTAGTGACATCACGTCCAGCTTGATGATCGCGTTCTTCACGTCGTAGTGTCTCTTCTTCTCCACCTCCATCTCCTTGTCAATGGCCGCGATGACGATCTTCTTAATGTCCACCAACATCGTGAAACAGCTGCACAACCAAACTAGAACGAGGTTTCGCCTTGACTGCAACAGACGACGATAAATGTATCATTATTTGTTCTAAAAGAGTGGAAATCAAATTGTAAAGTTTTTTAATCTAAGAGTTTGGGTAGGAGATTTTATGCCATTTACGCAACGGCAATTTCTAAAGGTGAGTTCAGGAACTTCAGCAAAAAAAAAAAAAAAATTTAGCGAAACGCTCTCAAAACGGCTAAAAATTTAGGAGATTTAATTTTTTTTTTTTTTCTTTTTTTTTTTTTTTTTTTTTTTT